ATTTATTTTTTTAAATGTGGAATTTGAAATCCTTTAATATATATACTCTATGTTCATAAGAAAAAAATTATACCTTTTCAATTTGGAATTTAAAACTCATTAATATACACACACACACTTTATATTTCTAAGAAAAAAGTTATATTTATTCAATATGGGATAAAATATTTTTTAAAATATTCTTTTAAAATTTATTATCTAAAATATGTATAGCCTATATTTACATTGATTTTTTTTCTTAATTTTTCATATAAAATATTAAAAATTTATTTTTTTAATTTTTCCGAGTTAACTTATAAAATCCGCCCTTTTGGCAGAGTCAACCCCTGAAATGGATTTAATAACTATAATTAAAATTATCAAATAAGTATTTGATAAGCATTTCATTTCTTTCTTAACTTTGGTCAAAGATTTTAGTTTTTTTATAACATAATTTATATTTTCAAGTAATTTAATTATTTATTGAAAATATTTAAATTTAATTAAATCCTAAATAATAATTTTAATTCAAATATAAATAATAATATATCATCAAAAATTAGATGATTTCAATATCAGCACATTCGATGTCATAATACATAACCAAAAAAAAAAGTTTAAGCAAATTCTCAAACAATTTTACAATAATAATAATAATAATAATAATAATAATAATAGTAAAAACTGAGAATGCAAAGTTATTTGATTAGTTGCAAGCTCAGCCACGATTCTGATGAGGAGCATTATTGAACGTTATTTTGATGGCTGAAAAAGTTGTCTGTCCTTGTGGTTTGTTTGCCACGATTATTTTGTTTCTATCACAAACCACAATGGTTTTTTTTGTTTAAGTTAAAACTTAGCTTAGATAGCGATTGGAATGATACATTTTTTTGAATTAAATTATTAGGATAGATTGTATCTAATAAAAATAAAGCTATGGTATAAAAACATGATTATATCTCTGGGTTGGTGTAAATACTCAAATAATTAAAAAAAATATTTAAACAAATTTTCAAGTATCTTCACATTAAACACATCGCAACAATATCAAATAAACGAATTAAATTCTAAACAATATAATTAAATTAATCAGGTTTAAATTAATTAAATTTAAAATTTGTTCTAAAAAAATTATATATTTAAATCTCATGAGTATTAAAGTTATAAAAACTTTATTTAATTATTAATTTTAAAATTTATAAAATTAATTAAAATACACACATACTAATTTTTCTAATAAAAAATAAAAACTTAAACAATCATAATGGTCAATATCTAGGGCCGGCCGGCATAATCGTGTCATGAACTGAAAACGTGAAGAACGTCCTTATTTATTTATATTTTACTTTATGAGAAAATGTTGATAATATTTTGGTATAAAAAATATTATTTAATTTGTAAAAGCTTGTTGCGCTTTAAACTGACGTGAACGTCGGCTGTGCGGAGACTGGTCGGTGTGTGCAGCAATATCTGACGGTCAAACTCCGACTTCTACGAAGATATTTGAATTCTTATGGTTTTGCCATCATTCTTGAACGATGCGTGTGGTAAAAATATCTTAGGTTTTATACCAGTGGCTGTTTTTTTTTTTTTTTACTTCTTTCTTTCCTCTATCCCCTTCAATTTCATAGCCTACACCTTAACATTTTTAAAGAAGTAATTTAATTTTTCTTTTATATTTGATTCTTGATATTTTATTATTATTTATTTTTTCACTTCTTTATTCTTTTGATAATTTTTTTAATTGGATCCCTCAATTTCTCATATTATTTTGTTAATTTATTTATTTTTTTAATTATACCCTTTAATATTTTAGTTTATTTTATTTTATGTCAGAATTGTTGCTTGTTTTTTTATTAAATTTTTTTTTCTAACCCTTTTTTATTTGAATTTTTATTTTTAATTTTATCCCTTAATATTTTATTGATAAAGATTTTGTTAATCTTTTAAATTATAAATTTGAAAGGTTGGACCATGTTGGCTCAAATCTTTTTTTCTTCAAGTTATTCTTTTATAAAATAATATTTTATGATTTATCCTTATGTATATAAAATTATTTTGATATCGTGTATTATGTCCTGAATTTCACATGTTAACTTAATTTTATTTGAGATAATATTTTTTAAATTTATTTATTTTTTATTATTATTATCTAATTTTTTATCATATTATTATATTAATCAAGTTTTAATCTGCTTATTGATTTTTTATTACTTTTTCAAAAACACAACTATCTCCTATACATATTTTTTGGGATTGGAAAAAATAGTCTTGCCCGAGCATTAGGCAAACAACTTATCTAGTTTCATTTAAATAAAAATCCTTTCTGTTTTGTTTTTTGTTAAAGTGATGATCGAAATAAAATTATTAGATTTAGACACACATTCCCGTACACGCACACACTTAAACAAAATTAGTTTAGGATACTTATTGAATCACTTAAAACCTATCATGCTGAAAAATTTTATTATCAGGGATGACTATTTTATTTTTAAAATTTTATTGCTTCTTATTTGGTTTAAATAAGATATATACAACAAGCTTTTCAAGATTTTAATAATATTACATTCTTTAGATACATTTCTAAAATAAAGTCCATAAATATAAAACAAATAATTAAGTATCTTTCTATAAATACCGAATCTAAATTCTAGATTGTGAGGGTTTAAAAAAGGCTTATAATAGTGGAGAAAAACACTAAAAGCAAGCCGAAATGAGACAGAGTAGTAAAATCTTGAAAAATAGAGCAGTAAATCCTTCATTCGACCCCTTTTACCATGGATTTTAAAACCAAAACATATAAAGAATTATCTCTTTGCCAACATTGATAACCCCTTATAAAAGAAGAATTAAACCTGATAGTTTTCACTTTAACTTTAATAATTTTTAGTTGAAATAATTGAAGACCTAGCTTTAATATAAACTTTTTTGTATTCTTGTAATTAGAAAAGAAACTTGAAAATGTTAAATAATTGACTATATAAACTTGACAATGCAAAATAAAATTAACCTTAAAACTTCAAAGGCAATCCAATTAAATTGATCCATGCCTAGTGAGGTAGCTAGCATGCAATAAGCTTAAATCCTTGGCAATACTGATTTCACTAAGCATCAATCACAATTTTAGACCTTAATTTATATGATAAATTATTTTATTATTAATGTTATTATTGTAAGTCTTAATTATGAAAATTTTAAAACAACTTGTTTTAAATTAAATTGAGTTTCTAAAAACACACAATATAGACATTAAGTCTTGTCATGTGAAATAGTGCTGTATAGATGAACAGTACCATATAGATGAATAGTGCCGTATAGGTGAATAGTGCCCGTATGCACAAATAACTTTGTGTATTAACAACACCAACCAAAAGGCTCTGATACCACTGTTAGGATGCTGGCATGCAAACCCAATAAGATAAAGGATAAGAGACAGGATAAAATCAGAAATGGAACACACAAGAATTTACGTGGTTCACCCAATTTGGGCTACGTCCACAGACAAGTATAGAAGGATTTTACTAAGTAATATGGGACTTACAACCTCTCTCGAATAATAGGAGAACAACTAAGAATCTCTCTATTATTAGGAGAAAACACCTCACTTACTCTATCACAAATACCTCACAATTTTGTGGGATTACTCTCTCTTCACTCTCTTCTTCTTCTCTCTATTTTTGGTATGCATATAGGCTTGAATGCATTGCCTATTTATAGGCAAGGGTGAGGGTATAATGGTCATAAATTTAGGAGGAATATATGCCTAACAACTCATCCTCCACTCATCCTCCACCAATTACAACTCATCTCCCACTCAAATCCCATTAATTATGCCACCTAATTACATGACTTTACAAGTTCACCCCCCATGCATGTGAGGCCTTTCTCTGGCTTTTATAAAGCCAGAGAAGATCATGTGTTCATGCCTTCAGAAATGAGGCACATTCTATGAGGGATCGTGTTCCATGATCTGCTGGCAATGTTTCCTGTTGATCAGGTCTTCAGGATGAGGAGATGATGAATAGTGGTTCAAAATGGCGTCGTTTATGTCTGGTTGCTATTTTAAACTTGGCCCCTGAACTTCTGATATTTATCAATTGGATCCCTGATTCCATTAATTAAATAATTCCAAGTCCAATTAAGTCCTTAAATTTCCAATTGATATTTTTTTGGCCCAAATTTCGATTTATTCCTCATTTTTTTGTTGTTGTTGTTTTTTAATAAAATAAAATAAAATAAAATAATCAAAAATTAGATTGTGACAAAGCTTGCATAGACTCACATTAAATAAATAAAAATTATGAAATTTAAACTTGTAATCACTTGATTATCAAAGTTGTAATACCATGTCAAAAAACTATTTTAATCTAATAATTTAAACTATTAGATGAGATCCCAACACATGATTTAAATCAATTTTTAACACTAAGTTATTTCTAGAATAAATTATTCAAAATTTAAAACTTCATATTATTTAGAATTTATAAAACATATATTTTCTCTAAAGTTTAGATTGTAACCTAAAACTTAATAAGCTACGTTAATTGGTATTAAAGCAGTTAGGTATTTTTTATGAAAATAGATATTATGAATATCATCTCACCTTGTGATGCAAGAGTGGAGCGATATGAGATGTTACAAGGTTCAAGAGACATGACAGAGAAGCTAAACATAAAGAGCCTATTCAGTCGAGTATTCAGAAGTAGATCTAGCTAAGCAGATAGATTATATGCTTTCATAAAGAGACATAAACAAGGATCATGAGGAAATATTCCATTGATAAAAGTTATTGTGATTTACTAACAAGTTTTTTTATTAGTATTTTTATTTATATTTGATAATTTTCTAGTTATGATAAGTATTGTACAATAGACCGTGAATCTCTCTCCCCCCTAATTTAATTTTAATTTTAACTTTGTAAGGTTGATGAAAACAGTGGCAAAACCGCCAAACCTCAAGAATGGTGTTTCCTTGTTGATCATTTTTATTTTAAATATTTTTCAACATTCTTCTTCAACAAATTGGACTAGTTAATGCAAAGCTTTTATTTATAATAAAAAACCGCAAGACAGCATGACTGCACAACATGACATTTCTTTATTTAGCTATGGTATTAAAAATAAAAAGTCCCTGCTCCAATCATGACTTGTGAGAATAGTGATCCAACTAAGCTTTGCTGGAGATGAATTCCACTTCATTTCCTAATCCCATTTGTTTTGGAAGAGGTGGGATGCTTTGTTCGTGCCTGAAGAAATTATCAGGATCAACTTTGGTCTTCACATGCACCAACCTGTAGAAGTTATCCTTGAAGTAGCTGGTACCAAAAGCACTCGCTTCGACAAAACTTGTGTTAGAATTTCTGTTCATGCCCAAATCGAGATCCCTGTAATTAGCATATGCTTCCCTAGGATTCTTCGAGACATAAGGTGTCATGTAACTGTAAACCTTCCTTGTCCAATTTATATGCTTTGCAACGTTTTCTGTTGCATCTTGCCAACTGGACCAGTAAAGGATCATGAACTTGGTACCTTTTCTATGAGGGAAAGGAGTCTGAGATTCTGAAATTTGGTTCATCATTCCACCATAAGGAGTAAACACTACTAGAGGACTCTCTGCTTCAAATAACTTCTCCCATAACCCTTCAAGTGCCTTTTCAGGTATGGGTTTTCTGGCATAGTCAGATTTGCCTTTGAAGTAGGCCCTGTCCATGTTAATTCTTTGAAGGAGAACTTCAGGAGGAGTATTCTTTGCAAAGCCTGACATATATACAGTAGAATTGATCCAGTTTGTTTCGATACAATCCTGTCGTGTCAAACCCAATTCAGGGAAGCTGTGTTTCATTACCTGGAGAAGTCTGTTGGCGTCACCAAGAAAGGCGGCATTGTAAGAGGTGGTGATAGTTCTTTTACCTTGACTACTGACATTGGCTGTCTGAATTTGAACTCTGATGAAAAGATCCTCGTCTAGTTTATCAGCAATTTGTTGCCATCTATAGAGGAGTTTGGTTGCACCTTGTTCTGACGTCTTGGTAACTGTGAAAACTGTCACCGCTGATGGTACAGGAACTAATTTTACCTTCCAGGCGGAGACGATTCCGAAGCTGCCACCTGCACCTCCTCTGATGGCCCAGAATAGATCTTCGCCCATGGCTTTTCGGTCTAGAAGTCTTCCATGAACATCAATTATATGTGCATCAACGACATTGTCGGCTGCAAGGCCATATTTCCGCAACATGGCACCATATGCACCTCCTGAAATGTGCCCGCCCATACCTAAACTTGTGCAAGTACCAGCTGGGAAGCCATGAGTCTTGCTTTTCTCAGAAATTCTGTAGTAAAGTTCACCATTCGTGGCACCCGTCTGAACCCACGCGCTGTTGTGCTCAATACCAACGCTGATGGACCGGAGCTTGGCAAGGTCCACAACAATGAAAGGTGTCTCAATTTCTGAAACATAAGAGAGTGCCTCAAAATCATGGCCTCCGCTACGGACTCTAAGGTGAATTCCAAGCTGCATAGAGCAAATCACAACAGCCTGGATGTGAGATTCTTGTAAAGGAGTGAAGATAAACTCCGGTTTCGGTACTGAAGGCAAGGTGAACCTGAGGTTTTGAGCAGAATATTGTAAAACACTGGTGAAGGAAGAGTTTTTTGGAGAATACAAGACAGTGGAATAAGGAAAGGATGATCCTGAAGTTCTTGAGAGACATTTCAGAAACCTATCCTGAAGTGCATGTGAAACTATAAATGGAGATAGGAGTAGGAGCAGAAATATTGAAAGTATGGAAGAACTTGAAGGCACCATTTTGCTTGCTTTCTTGCTTCTTTGGCTTGTCTTCAAGAATTGAAGTCTCAAGGTGCTCTTATAGGGGAGCTGCGATGAGTTGATCGTAAATTGGCTTCATCGTTACATTATCCTAGAAATATAATATTTCTGAATTCTCCGTAGTCAAATGTTTAATTATGACATTAACATTGAATTGTGATTCTAAACAAACAATTGATATATCTGTGATATTAAATTTTTTATGTCTAATTTTTAAAAAAATTATATATATTATTAAAAAATAATATAAATT